ACAGTATGGTATGAGATGAATAATCTGTAAAAGTACGAAGCTCTTCTGACTTCTCCCAGTGCTAACTAGGACAGTGGATAAATGGTTTTCCTGTAGCAGTAAGTTGTTTCTCCACTATTAGCACATTTAGCAGTGAGAACATGAGGTTGACTGACAGCGCTACAATCCCCCTCCTGACTCTGATTTGGTCAGGAGCAGCGCATTTCTTCAGAGAGCAAAATCAGCTCTTGGAGCAGGTTGAGGAGATCGATCTTCTCACAGGTTATCTGCCTCATAGCATTCTGTCACGACATGGTGACAAGTTTAACAAATATGTAAAAAACAAAATTGTCTTTATAAAAGCTATGTACTGCAGCTTTAAATCTCCCAAAACCTTACAAATAATGTGTCATGATTCATGAAAACAGGTGTAAAAGGTCAGTATTATGTATTTTTTAGGCACGTAATGCCATATAGCCCAATCAAGTATGTGTACCTTAAGTTGCTATAAAAATGCTATACATATCAAATATGACTAAAAAGAAATTTGACTTTGTAATTTAACACCTTAAAATTTGTCCTCTGTCTCTTTAAAAACTCCTGTTCTTTCTGAAACTCCGCCTTCAAAGCAGTCATCATAACATGGCTCCTCTTTTAATCCTTTAACAATGTTTTTACAAGTGCTACAATGAAAAGTAGACCCGATGAGCTCAGAAAATGTGAAGTTCCACCAGGATTTTGCTAATTGCTGCTGACTAGTCTGAAGGAGCTGAGTGGGAGACTTGCAGGGGAAGCTGCTCTGTGAGGCAGAAGCTTGAAAATTGCAGCTCTTAGGAGGGGCTGCACAGCCGAATGGTTGCCGTGGTTGCCATCAATGTAAGGTTAATACAGAACAAGACACTCCATCACTGAGAGAGAAACATGCCAACTGTGAAATATGGTGGTGGCAGCATTATGAGCTGAGGTTAATTTTATTTAGATGGAGCTGAAGTTCTGAACAGTTCCAAATACAGACAGTTTGGGCTCCAAATTTTCAAATAACTGGTAGAAAGCAAGACGACAAAGAGTTATTTCATTTGTCATCATCACAGGAACTCCAAGTATATATTCAAAACAATAAAACATCAACTCACAGGAGAAAAAAAATTGTATTACATTATTTTCCCCCATTTTGAAATGATTTAATATGCTATTGTTTTTTTTAATCACACAAACCTGACTTTTCACCAAGGGTGTGAAGACTTTTAAAGAGCCGCTCTCCACACAAAACTGTCCAAAAAGGAGGAGAGAATTGTGTGGCTAATCGAAGCTCTGCAGTTTAACCAAGCAACTGGCACATTTTAATACTGTTAATGTTATAGCCAAACTAAATTAAGTCTAGTCCATAAAACCAATTAAAATATCTCATCTTGAGGCAGTGAGTTTTTATTGCTTTTCTAACAACATCAAAGCTGGAAGCTGCATCACAAACCTGACTAGGAATAGGGGGAAAAACGTCACAGTGAGACTGAAGCATTTTTACATGTCATACAAACACTATTTCTTTCAAATGGGGGGGTAAGCCAATGTCGTATGAAGCATCACTAAAGAAATAGAGATATGTTGGAACCTATTAACGGTTTCAACAAACTGAACTGAGGATGTTACAGTTTGAACAGAATGATTGTTGGCTTTCAGGATCTGCCTCTCTGAGATGAAACTTCCAACAAGCATGTGAACCTGCAAGTGCTTTCTGCTGAACTATCCCACTCCATCAGTGTATTTTTAGGCCCCCCTTGAACACTTAAAAGCCACAAGTGCACTTGTTTCTGCTGTTTTCTATTAACAATGATGACTGTGAAAAACCACTTACAATCATTTCAATCAAGGGAGCAGCTTAAGAGTTTGGTGTTGTTGAATAAACAGGCTGCAGCCTTGCAGGAGTTTATCTGGGGGGATAACTCCCCAGTTATGGGGATGAATCCAACAATGAGACGATAACATGAGCACCCAGTTCGCTCATTAGCCAACTGCTGATTGTGTTTCTACCTTGATGGTCTGAAGCTGGAATCAGCATAATAGGTTAATAAAGAGAAACAATCAGTTGTTGCTACACTGGGGATAAGAAAAGATTGTTGTTGTTTTTTTTTGTCTGGGAAGAAGAAGAAAAAGAGAGAATCAAAGCAACACTTCAGGTATGTTTATGATGAAGGAATAACATTGTAACATGATGTAAAACTAAAAAAAGTTTGAGTTTGAGCAGAATCCTGTTCTGCTTTACAAATACTAGATGAGGTAATTATGGAAGTACAAAATGAAGAACTTTCAACTGAGCCAGAAGCATTGGTGGAAGGAACGTTTTACATCAATCAGGCAATTTCATACCAGATTAGCTGATGCTTCTCTTTTGTGTTTATATATATATATATATATATATATATATATATATATATATATATATATATATATATATATATATATATATATATAGACAAGCCCCTACATGGGATGTACCACCGACAAATAACTGAAGTGGCTGATATGAGGAAATCCTACCAATGGCTGGAAAAAGCTGGACTCAAGGACAGCACAGAGGCCCTCATCCTGGCCGCCCAGGAACAGGCCCTAAACACCAGAGCAATAGAAGCTCAGATCTACCACACCAGACAAGACCCAAGGTGTAGGTTGTGCAAGGAGGCCCCTGAGACAGTCCAGCACATAACAGCAGGGTGCAAGATGCTGGCAGGGAAAGCGTACATGGAACGACATAACCAACCAGAAATGTTATAAAAAGAAATCATGGTAAAATAACTGCCAAGAGAAAGAGCAAGTAGTGAATTTAATCTCCAAACTACAATATGCAAATGTCTTAGTCTGCATTCCTGCTCTCCTTGCTGGTATATGCTTATTTTAGAGAGGAAAAAATACATCACAAAAGCAGTTGAACAATTAGTCATATTAAGTTCACATGCGAAACTGCAGCATATGCTGTAATTTGTTAGAGTGATGAGTGAACAAGTGAATGTGTCAGGCCTAAATCAAGTGAACTAACTCCAGCTGTTCCTTAATCTTATCTCTCACTCTTTCCAGCTGTTTCAAAAAAAAAACCCCATAATTATTTATACATTTCTCACAGTGGCTGGGATTCCACATCGTGATGTGAGACAGAAAGTGTATGGAATAGTCACAAAAAGTTTTTGCTGATTAACTGTGGGATCATTTCAGGAAAGAAGCACCTTAAGTTTTATTGGGTCAGTTAAGACCAGTGAATTTCACCATCTGTCAGTGTACCAGGACCTCTGGAACTTTAAAGACACATACTTGGGATAACTTTGGTTATCCCAAGTATTTTTAACCCAATAACCCAAGTATTATTGGGTTAACTCAATAATACTTGGGTTATCCCCATGTGAGTTAAACGTCAGTAAGCCAAAGAAAAAAGAAAAAGTTTTTTGTTGTGAAAAACAAGGAGTTCAATCGTTATTTTCTTATAACCCTGTGCCATTATTATGGCACAGGGTAGATGTTATAACTGATTATCTCAAGCCAACTGCTGTCCTGTATTATCTCTAGCAGAACATTGCTGCATGAAAGCAATTTAAAAAGCCAAATGTATATTCAAAGAGATTACATATTCTGAAACACTTTTTATCAAAAACAATCTCTTGGTATTTTGATTCTCTTGTTGAAGGGAAAAAAAACAACTAGATGCTGCAGTTAATTACTTTAGGTAAAACTGCAGAAGGAAAGTTTGGACAGCACTGATTTACTTATTCAATACACCATCTGTCAGATTCCTCTGACCAGCTGATTTAAAACCAAATAAACACAACACTGCCATGTGCCTGTCCCTTAATTCAACAGCTGCACTCCCAAAATCAAAATTTGGTCCATTCAGACTGCAGTGTGAGCAGCCTATGATGTCATCGATGAAGTCATAAAGGTTCAAAGAGATTATCATTATCAGTGGAAATACAAGAATTCTCAGTTTGCTTCTCAACTTGGTTGGAGGTAGATCGATTCCAGAGAGACGACTTCAAACTGATTTTACAAACCATTTTAACTGTTCACCAAGTCAAGAGGATTTTTTATATTGATGGGACCTTGGATTTCTTGTTACGACGGGAGTTGAAAAGTTGTTAGGATAGAGCATAAGAGGCAAAGACGTTTTAGTAGAGAGCTCTGAGGATGAGAGATCAAAATACTTTGGTTTGGACATTGAACCCTGAAGCCCAAAAGGACATGGAAGATTCCTCTAAGGATGAGAAAGTTACCGTCAAAACCACAACTATGGATTTAACAGTAAAGGCATCAGGAGACTTTGTTGTTTTTGAAAGTCTCAATGTTCCTCATGACCAAATGGACCTGGATGTGTTTGCTTGCTCACAGGTTGAGTGAGTTACTTTAACAACCACAGCTAACTCTTTATCAACACAGACATTACAAAAAAGTGTCTTTACCAGTCTTCCCAGAAATATAAAGGACCTGGATGTGAAACCAAAGGATGAAGAGGATTCATCATCAGAAGAATCCTCTTCAGTTGACGAAAACTCATCAGATGAAATTCAAAATGACACAGATGATTTTGACAGCGTGGATATTAATCTTGAGCCGACCATGTACATTTGCAAATTTTCCAACTCATTCTTCAAATGTTGGATGAATGCTACAACACATAGCATTTATGAACTTGATTATTACCAGAAGGTTTGTGGCTCAGCATTTGAATTTTTTCAGAGATTCCATTGTTTGTGAGGTTTTTCTTTACAGCAATGCACCATGCAGGAAGATATTTTCCCCCAGATGAAGTTTTTGCAGTTCAGAATGAAATAATTGAAACACTGAAAATGAAGGATGTAGTACATCGGGACAAGCCAGGAGTCTTTTTGTTTTATATGTCACACTGTCTGACCCAATATGTCATTAACAGACTATGAGCTGTACACAGATGACTATTGTGAACAATGTTAGAAGTCTTCATGTATTATTTGTAACCTTGGTCCTGTCATTTACCTACCAAAGGAAACACGAGACAGTACAACTACTTTTCTAAACTGTTATACAGTAAGTGTGGAATTACAGAATGTTGTGACACCTGCAACTCCAACAAAAAGATAGAATGCTTTTTCAATGACACTTATGTGATGACCTTGAATCTCCCATAGTCAGACAGTCCAGATGATTTAAGATAATATCTTAAGTCATCTCCTGCGATTCCTGACCCAGTCTTTGAAATTCCTGTAAAAACTGGAACTCAGTCGTACCTTCTGTCCTCAGTCATTTGCTGTTTATACTTATGTGACAAACAGCAGTTCAGATTACCCACCTTTTTAGGAGATGTTGGAGGGGTTCTGGAGAGTGCCCTTCCTGGGGACTTCCTTACTCTGCTGGGTGATTTCAACGCTCAAATGGTCAATGACAATGAGATCTGGAGGAGTGTGGTTGGGAGGATCGACCACCCTGATCTAAACCAGAGTGATGTTCTGTTATTGGACTTCTGTGCTCATTATGGATTGTCCTTAACAAACACCATGGTGTTTGTTAAGGACAAACACCATGGTGTTTGACATATGGACATCAGGGTCCACATATGGACATCAGGGTGTCCATATGTGCTCTTAGCATTCTTGGGTGAAGACAGGGCAGAGCTGTCCACTGACCACTCCCTGGTGGTGAGATGACTTTGATGGGGGAACAGGACTGGCCCAATCATCCATGGGGCCCTAAATGAAATTTGGTTTTGGGGCCCTCTACTGTTGCTAATAATGTGTATTGCTGCAATCAGCAGTCAGACCATGAGATCATTCGCACACCTGCTATAAACTTATTGCTTCTCTGACTGTGCTGTTTTGTATGGAGTTACTTGACTTTCTGTCATATAAAACAGGCTTACATTTTTTTTATGATTCACCTTTTTTACTGATTGACCAAAACAAGACCTGGGAAGAAGCCCTGAGCTACTGTAGACATAACCACAAAGAGCTGGCCTCCATCCTGGATAAACAGATGCAGACCTTTGCTGAACTGGAGGCTGAGAAAACCAACAGTCCTTTCGTATGGCTCTGCCTTCACTACACCTCCTCCTCTCTCCATTACTGGTTCTGTGTTGATGACAGTGCTGTAGAGTTTAAACACTGGGGTCACAATGTACCAAAAGAAAACTGTGACACCAGTGGAGCCATGGAGAAAGAAGGAGACCATCTCTGGTTCATCAAGTCTGATTATGATGAGTTTCATTTTATCTGTGCTGTAAACTAAGAGCTGTGACTTAGTTTGTGAGTGATGGTAACCTTCATCAGGTGAAAACTTCACATCTTATCTAGTATTGCTTTGCTCATAGAAAAACTTTTTTTTGACAATTTGAAACATTTAAAACATTTCTCTTCTTTTTTCTTGTGTATTGTAGATGTTTGCTGTATTTTCTGTCATATTTGTGATTAATGTAAATTTGACTCATAATTTTGTGAGTCTCTGTTGTGGTTGTAGTGATACAAATGCTAGCTAATTGGAATGTTTTATATGTTTCTTTAAATAATGCAAATAACATGTTTTGCTTCTTCTATAAGTGTATACAAATAGATTTCAAACATTTATTTATAAAAAGATTTTTAGAAACAGTTTTTTTTCCTTGCAGAATATTGCACACTTTTTGTTGAACTATTGTACAAAAACTCTGTGATTTTGTACAACAGTTGTATCAACAGAGATGGTGGATGCATCATTACATACACAATCTCTGTTGTGGTTGTAGTGATACAAGCTGAAAAAAATTTTGAGGTTGAAATAATCTCATGAGAAACTGTAATGCATACAAATAAATATGAAGAGTGATAAAAAAAAGCAAACATATTTTCTTGAGATATAATCAGACTATTCATCTCAAATCACAAAAACGTTTGTCAGAGCAACAAATCTGTCAAGTCTGAAGACAAAGGGGTCCATTTTACCACAGGTTTACTGCTAACCTGTCAAAGTAAAGCAAAACAACAACAGGTATGGCTGCTCTTGCTACACTAAAATGATAATTTGTTTTCATATGATATAATACATTTATTATGTTTATTTCAGTGCCAAGTCAAGTGTTATCTCTGTTCCACAGCAGAAAACATAAAAGCACAGTGTTGGATCCAAGTGATTCCTGGTGATCAAACAGTCGGTCATCTGCTGTGCAGGAGGAAATGCATAATGATTTCATATGTTGGCCTAAAGCTACAAAATGTACAGCTGCATAATTGAAATATTCACCAGGTTCACTTTTTTTGAACAACAATGACTCAGTGAAGTCTAATTTGTTCAGTATGTTTTCAGATAACATCTCCTCCTCACATTTAAAGATGTTTTAGTTCTGAAGACGTTCTGAGAAAAGGCTGACTGTAGAAATGTCAAGAAATCTGCTCTTCCTTTTTCTCATCATTCCTACATGTGGAAAGTGGCCATGTTAATTCACTTCACTTTATAAGTTGAAATAAAATACAAAGCCATCTTATGCTAATCATCCACAAATAATAAAATGGTGGATTATAACTGTGACTAGGATTTACAGTCATTTTTAACTGATTGCAGTAACTCCAAACCAGGTATGTTACTTTGTGAAATCTCTGTCAGCGTGGCTGCTCTGTCTTCCTCCATCCTGTATTCCTCTCTTGGGCACAGCAAGTTCATAGAAAAAAAATATACTGCTAAATAACCTACAGATCATTACAGAACTGGATGAAGGACAAGGTAACAAACATTAAAGACAGTATGTACTGTATGGACATATCCACATATGTTCGTATCCATTCATGACTTATAAAAAGTTATCACTTAATAGTTATCACTTTTAAGTGGCACTCAGATTGATATGTATGTAAACACGTACGGATTCATGGTGCCATAACTGATGGTGCCATGAATTCAGCTCTGTAACAGCAAACCGTAAAGGAGAATGCCATCAATTTGTATCTTTGGTAGGACCTTTAACAGGTCACTTGAAAACCTTCTAGTATGGGTGGGAAAACACTATTCTACCATCATGTGAAGGTCTATTGTAACTGTTAGTTTGTTTTTCTTTTTTTTTTTGTCTCACTAATTGCTTGTATAAATGTGTGTGTGACTATGTGATGGCTGCCACTACTTCTTGCATTGAATTCCCCTTTGATTATCTAGTGACGTGAAGGTCAAAATTCCTGTACAGATTGCCAGTTATCAGATATGGTCTGATGACAGTTGATGCCGCCAAGGGTAATTAAATTTAAGGGGCAATTACCTTAAACCCCATGTTGGACTTCCTCAGATTATAGTTATCCATCCAGTAAATGAAATTAGTCCAATGTTAAATAAAATCTGGTAAAAAATAAAAAGAAGAAGAAGACATAATTGGATGCAGCAGTGGTTCTGCACAGTGGTCCCATAGTGACACAGGACCTCCTTGCAGCAAGAAGGTCCCGGGGTCTTTCTGCATGGAGTCTACATGTTTTCCCTGTGACTGCGTTGGTTCTCTCCAGGTACTCCGGCTCCCCCCCACAGTCCAAAAACATGATTGGTAACTCTAAATTCTCATAGGTGTGTGTGTGTGCTCGTGTGTGTGTGTGTGTGCATGATTGTCGTGTCTGTCTTTGTTTTGCCCTGTGATGAACTGGTGACCTGCCTCTCACCCAATGACCTCTGGAGATGGGCACCAGCACCCCTCATGGCCTCAGTGTGGATAGGCATCTATGATAATGGACGAATGGATTTTAAATATTGGAAATAAGCAAATTATTCATTTAATACATTACACATTTGTAAGTTTTATCTAGGAATACAGTTGTAGTTTCCTAAAATACTAAAACTATTCTACGCAAGAAAAAAGTTACACAGTTATATTCAGTAAGTTGACTAAGTATATTTTTGTTTTTACATTTTAGTGACTTAATTATCATTTCAAGTTCTTTCACTTAAATTCATTCAACAAATTTTGCTTTTTTCTTCTAGAGTGAAGATCATTTGTTTAAAGAAGATGTGTTCATTTTAATATTTAAATGTAAACTAAAGCAAAAAAAAAAAAACAACAACCTAACTTTCATCTGACATCGTCTGGTTGTCCTTTATTTGGCAGAGGAACAATATTCCAGAGTTGTCTATGAGTTACATTTAAGACAATAAATCTTAATAGCAACAAGAAAAAAAGGAAGTAGTGAATTTTAAGTGGCACTCAGACTGAATTAATTTACCATGTTGTTTTTGTGCAGCATTTTCAGCAGCACTCTCAGATATTTTGTGATTTTTCCTAGTAAGAAGATTCAGTTTTCCCTCACTCCATAAAAATCATCTAACACTTACTGCAGCAATCATAAAATCAATGTGAACATTACAGAACATTGTGAGAGTAGTATCTTTCATGTTTAGATGGAATGACCTTCACTGTTAGATCCAAAGTTCCATAAAACACACATGGGGACCTTTTTGTTCTCCCCAGTCAGATGACTCTCACTGGGGTCTGTACTGCCACTGGTGTCACTCTGTGGGCCTTGGTGAGCCCTCACTTCTTCAAACACTGACATGACTCTGGTCTGGTGATCCAGTGATGGACAGAAACCTCAGTAATTGGATATTAACTGATATTAAGTTATTTATTTTTAATTTTAACATGTAGTTTAACACACCAGGTTCAACAGATATAGGTGATATTTACAAAAACAAACAAACAAACAAACAAACAAACAAACAAACAAACAAAAATACAGCCCAATTCAAGTCGTCTTTAAACTCGGTGCTATAACCTTCAAAGAACCGTCAGATCTCTTGTGTGATGTGAAAAAGTGTTCTGCAGCTGAAAAACCACATCATCCTGGCAAACAAACATTTTATCAAAAAACTTTATTTTTTTTATTTATTTATTTTTTCCAGAATTGACGTGTTGCTATTAAGCAAATTTATTTTTGTAATTTCAATTTGTCCAATTCTATGGTTAATGGAAGCATGGCTATTTGCATGTTCATATTCTGCGTTGACATTTAAAGTCAATATTGTGTTCAGTTCAATTTGCTCTTAGCTATGAATAAAATATGAAAAATACAAAAAGGTGTATTT